AGGCATACATTGACTTAATATGGTAAATCTTCTAAAGCCCCCCCCCAGTGTAATTTCCTCTATATTTACTGAGAAATAAATGTAAATGTGTTAAATGTGGCTCACTTATCCAGGAATAATCTCTACTGAATGACTATTCTGAGAAAATATTCATGTAAATCATTACAAACAAAAAACAGTTTCTAAACTCATACATACCACCAATTAAGAAGATTACAACTTTGACTATAAACCATCAAACTTTTATTTATGTTGTTATTTTTATTCATTAAATCTCACTTGCATTTAGAGCATGGATCAAATCATTGCTGAATCCACATGAGGGGTATATCCCAATTCCAGTGCTCAGTATCCTGCCGCGGTCTTACCCTGAAGCAATCTCAGTAAATAAGGGCATTTCTACTATGGACCTTATCACTCAGAGGCAAATTGCTTAAATCCCATGCAGAAACAGGATTTAAAATTCCAAAAAAATCTGCAAAAGTGGGTTGTTTTTCAGACTTATTTGTGTAAAGGAGAAATAACACTACATTAACACAAACGGAGTTGCCAAAACTCACTCCTTCTTACTTTCATAAGTTCCCGAAAGTAAAAAGGAGCAGGTTTTGTTGGCTTTCCATTTGGATTATTTTCATATTATTTCTTTTTCACACAAACGGCATCTGAAAAACAACCCACAATTGTGGGGTTTGTCTACTTTCTGTTCTGGTTGACCCCAAACGTCATGTGAAAAACAATCCACAGAAGCAGGTTGTTTTCACTTTAAATCTAATTTCTGCACGAAATTCGTCCAGTGTGATAAACTCCTATGTTCATGTGTTTACTGTATCTGATTATTTTAGGTCACACAACTGCAGCTTCTGCGTTTTTTCTTCTTCTTCCTGGTATTCATATGCAGATACATATATCTGCATAGCCATAAAATCCAATACCCTCTCTTGTTTTCCTATCATTCTTACCACCCACCTGCACCCCCTCCCTTGGATGGCATGTATATGGCTCCCTCACCCCACTTTCCTTTTCCTTATTCTCTGTAACTCCACAACCTCTATATCCTGTGTGTGCATATAAGTGCTTGTTTGTGTCTGTGTCTGAATTAAATGCCTCCTAATTCAGTTAAGGCCATGACATTTAAAGTTCCCTACATGATCTTCCCTCAAGATTAAAAACAGGATTAAAAAAACCCAAAAACAGATCAACAGAATGAAACAGCTGGTTTGTAAATCTATCAGCCCCAATCCAGCAAACATTATAGCCTGATCCGCCCCATGTTTCTTTGAATCATTTCCTACTGTGTCCAAAGTAATTTATTCTCCAATAAGGCTATAATCCTCTGCCATTTTATCTAGGAGGAAGTCCCACTGAACTCAATTGGACTTACTTCTGTGTAGGAATGTATAAAATCACACAGTTAATGATCAGTAGAGCAGAAGTGTTGCCGGGGTAATTGGGGAGCCTTCCAGTGGGGATCGACCCCTAATTGTTCACAACTTCAACCTGGCAGGTGAAAGGTGGGCAGAGTCCACAGTGGGAAGGGTCCCAAAAGGGTTTACTTTGGCATCCATGTCCAGCAAGTAAGGTCTTGACTTTTTTAAAAATACAGTATATGTACGTATGTACAGAGCGATCAACATATTCTAATATCCAAAGGCTCACAGAGCTTCTGAGGCTGATGCATCCCTTTGGATATTTGAATATATGTTTTTGTTGTTGCTGTGTGCCTTCAATTTGCTTCTAACTTATGCTGACCCTAAGACAAGCCTGTCATGGGGTTTTCTTGGCAAGATGTCTCACAGTAGGTTTGCCATTGCCTTCCCCTGAGGCTGAGAATGTGTAACTTGCCCAAGGTCACCCAATGGGTTTCATGGGCAAGCAGGGAATCAAACCCTGGTCTCCAGTGTCATAGTCCAACACTCAAACTACTATGCCATACAGGTTCTCAGATACATACATACAGTGAACTAAAAAAAAAATGTCAACACCATACCCACCTTTGGTTTGGAGTCTGTGTGCAGGTCAATGAACTGTTTATCTTAAATTATACTACAGTGTATAGTTCAAGACCAGGGCCCTCTTTACACTATACAATGATAGACCAGGGCCCTCTTTACACTATACAATGATTTCACTGCCAACACTGCATCCTATGAAATCCAAAGGTTTGTAATTTGATGAGATACTAGAGCTCTCTGGGTGAGAATTCTAAGTATTTCTCCCTAAACTGAAGACCCCAAGATTCTATGGGAAGGAACCATACTTAAAGTTGAACCATAGTGCTAGAATCGGGTAGTATGAAAGGGCCTGAGGCTTTTCACCTACCTCCTTCATAGAATTTCAGAGGAGTTTGAGAGGTGTCATTTTCCACTTGTAACTCTTTTGTATTTATCTCTGTAGAAAATCTGTTGAGCAGGAAAGGATGGAATGACTGCCTAATACCTTTTGACTAGTTTTCTCTGATTATAAAAGACTTTCCCTCTCTGCCATTGTTTAATATTTTATAGTATAATAGCTCATGGGCAAATACTTTTGTAGGTTTTGAAATAATAAATGCAGGAGCACAGATCTTCTATGAATCACTGCCAAATCCAGCATGATAAAATAATTTTCCACCTCCAACCAGATGGGTTTTGAAGGGATGGATAGTTTAAGATGTAGTTAACACCTCCACTTAATGTACTGTAAAGCTGCCTGGATGAGTGAAGAAAGAAATCCCAGCAAAGAACTGAAATCTTTGCTGTTGGAAAAATAGATTTAAACTAGGAAATGGTTCTTGCACGGAAAGTTCCCTCAGTGTTAGGTCATGTTATGTCAATCCCAATAAAACTGACATGGAATAGGAACCTATTTCACATTCAATTCACTTTGTAACAGTCCTGAGGACTAATGCTACACTGCACATGAACCCACTGCTATTAAGGACAAATGGCAGAGAAGTCATTTGCTGTTGTTTTGTAGAATATTTAGAATAATCATGGGAAATCAACACTCATACATAAGGCAAAATAAAAAACTATAACCATGGTGATGGTAGAAAAACACACGGAATTACAAACCAGGTTTTTATACCAGAATTTAAGCAGCCTTGAAACATTTGGGAACAAGCGAACAGCTGAATCTTAAATAGGCCAATTTCCTGATTAATTTGACTTATATCCTCTCTTTCTCCCAAAACTGGGATTCAATCTGACTCAGAATAAGCAGGTACAAATAGCACAAAAAGGTTTAATTCCACTAAGCACAGGATTTTCTTGGCAAGATTCGTTATGAAGGGAATTGCCTTAGCCTTCCTCTGAGGCTGAGAGAATGTGACTTGGTCAAGGGCACCCAGTAGGTTTCCATGGCTGAGCAGGGATTCAAACCCTTGTTTTATTCTATATTGTGAGCCACTTTGGATTCTCTGCCAGGAGAACGTGAGATATGTATACATTGAACACATAAGATAAACAATTAAAAATAACTCCTCCAAATAAAAAGGTCTTTGCCTATTAGTGGAAGAAGGAAATTATCAACAGGTTACACTCTCTAGGAAAGGAGATCAACACCATAGAAGGAGCTCCCAAGAGCACCCTCTCTTGTGTCTAGGCTAGAGCCTCAACCCAGCTTAATATAATAGTTCCACATACAAAACTACACTACAGCTGACTATTCATTGACCTATAGAGTCACTGCACACACCACCTAACAGCCATTCCATGCATGGCAAGAGAAGTGGAGGATCTGAGAAGTTTCTGATAGCCTGATACAAAATAATTACATCCTCCACTGAGGTCCACTTGGATCCTCCAGAGCTCTCACAGTGCAGTCATTTCACATCTGGCTACATGTACATAGCCAGATATTTCTCTGATTCCCCACTGCTCTCACTAGGCATAGAATGACCATGCAAAGGTGAGGCTTCACTGACTCTATTGTAGATCATGGGGTCTCTAGTCAGTGTGATGAGAGGAAAAGAATACCAACTTCTCCATTGACTAACAAGAGACCTATTTGGGTTGACCTATGCCTGGGTCACTGAGATTCTGTCATTAGTCCCAGCTTCTGCCAACCTATCAGTTTGAAAGCATGCAAATGCAAGTAGATAAATAGATGCCACTTTGGTGGGAAGGTAAACAGTGTTCTGTGCAATCATGCTGACTACATGATCACAAAGTAGTCTCTGACAACGCTGGCTCTTTGGCTTAGTAACAGAGATAAGCACCAACCCCTACGGTCAGACACAACGACAACTTTGTCAACAGGGAATACTAGCTCAGATGTCTTGTGAAGATGGTAGAACCAAGAAAATGGTCTCCTCTGAAGATCTGAAAGCTCTTATTTGGAGACAAGTTACAATGGGTTCAAGGGGAGCTATTCCCAGACAACTGGGTATATGATTATGGCGGTGTCAGCAATGGTGTGTGGGTGTTTGTGTCTTTTGCTTGAAGAGACTTCGAAAGGGCTGCTGTCATCCAGACAAATGGAGGTGACAAACAGGTGCTGGATGGAGGGATGCAATGGATAGCAAAATCTTTTCCTACTCTCTATCCTGCAAACATATGCAGGCGCTTTCCAACACTTTGTTTCCCTTTTAAGCACACATCAAAATAAAAAACAGCATGGTGGTCCTTTCTTTCAAGAAATTATTTCCAGTTGATGGAACTGCTCCAGCTTATGTAGTGGAAGGATTACAGATACATTCTTATGAGGCCAGAGTTTAATTAAAACTCACCAGTTTCACATAGTTGATATAGAGTCAAACACAGCTGTTAAATTATCATACCATACAAAACCATTATGGCCTTGGCCTGAATGGTTTACCAAAGATATGACAGAGACAAAGATGATGTAAGAAGGATGACTTGTTGTTGTTGTGTGCCTTCAAGTTGCTTCTGACTCATGGCAACCCTAAGGTGAACCTATAATGGGGGATTTCTTGGCAAGTTTCTTCAGAGGGAATTTGCCCTTGCCATCCTCTGAGGCTGGGAGACCATGACTTGCCCAAGGTCACTGAGTGGGTTTCGTGGCTGAGCCGGGATTTGAACCCTGTTCTCCAGAGATGTAGTCCAATGCTCAAACCACTATGCCATTCTGGCTCTCAAGTGGGATGGATAGGCTATTATAATGGAGCAACAGGGAGGAAGGGTAGAGGCAGAACTGTCATCAAAGGTACAAATGGTTGACTACATGCCAAGGTCCATCCCCTTGTGGGGTCCAACTGACAAAAGGTTCCTGGTCTAACTTCTCCTCTTCACCATTGCAACCCAATGATTTATCTATTCTTGCTCTAGCTCAGCAACAATGATGAATAGTGGTGTGGTAGTAAATTTGGACATTCATGGCAAGCTCTTTAGCCATATTACCAAGGAAGTCCAAAAGTGCAGGCACCTATGTTAATTTATAGAATATTAATAATAATACACATTTTTCATCTACCCTGGGAGCAGGTCTTTTTCAAAGCCAGTGGGTCTTGTCCATCCAGATAATAGTTGTGGATGTTTGTCAAGTCATTTCTGAATTATGGTGATCCTAAGATGACCCTATCATAATAAAATAATAATAATAAAATTTATTTATATCCCGCCCCTTGGGGACCCAATCCGGGCAGCTTACAACAATAAAATCACATGAAATATCCCAACAACAATCCCTCCCCCCCTTAAAACAGTATTAAATCAGATAACAATTAAAATTACAAATTTAAACAGTTAAAAATTAAAACAGTTAAAACACACTACAAAATAGCAATGTTCTCCCTCCATCCGTAGATGGGGCCACGCAGAGAACACTGTGGGTGGGAATACCCGAGGCCGGGATAATTAATCTGGAAAGGACTTCCGGAAGAGATCTGTCTTGATAGCCTTTTTAAAGCTGTCTAACGATGTTAACTGATGGATCTCATCTGGCAGGCCATTCCAGAGTCTGGGGGCGACAACTGAGAAAGCCCTCTGGGAGGTAGCCGCAAGCCTTGATTTTTGAGGCTGCAGCAAATTCCTCCCAGAAGACCGGAGAGCGCGGGGAGGATTGTATGGGAGGAGGAGGTCCCTGAGATAGCTTGGACCCAAGCCATTTAGGGCAGGGGTAGGCAACCTGTCTCCTTTAAGGGCTGAGGGACTTCAGCTCCCAGAATCCCAGGAGCTATTGGCCAACATGGGACTATTGGCCAACATGGCTGAGGCTTCTGGGAGCTGAAGTCCATTGGCCCTTAAAGGGGACAGGTTGCCTACCCCTGATTTAGGGCTTTAAAGGTAGTAACCAACACCTTGTACTGGGCCCAGAAGCTGATAGGCAGCCAGTGGAGGGACCTCAAAACCAGAGTAATGTGGTCCCTCCTAGATGTTCCCAACATAAGCCTGGCTGCCAAATTGTGTACCAGCTGTAATTTCCAAACCAAGTACAAGGGTAGCCCCATGTAGAGCACATTACAGAAGTCAAGGCGTGAGTTTACCAGCACTTGCACAACAGTCTCGAGATCCCTTACTTCCAGAAAAGG